GAGAGAGAGAGAGAGAGAGAGAGAGAGAGAGACACGCGTGCGCGGGAGTGTGTGCTCATGAAAATGTCTGCCGTAACTCATGTGCATATTCAATTAAACTATTAACATAGGTCGTAACGAACGTTTTTGGCAAGAATCGGTACGACAATATTTGCTCCCGTGTAATAAAAAAGTATTTGCAAAGGCAAATCAGCTTCAGATTTTGATCGGTATGCGTCATCATGCCCTTCGTGACGGAGCGAGAACACGGAGAACGATTATCTACGAAGGGCGGTCGAAATGTTGCTGGCCCGAATAGTTACCGCAATATCTCGTACAACCGACGATAACCGCTATGATCCTTCATGAATGTGCAAGTGAAATTTTAAGGGCAAAGCTTATTAGTTTTCTCACTAGAGTGCGTTGAATGTCATTGTGTAACTAAAATGGCGAGTACGGAGAAAATCAAAAACCGTGCCGTCACTGAATATCTTCATTTGAAAGCAATATCTCCAAAGGAAATTGTGGAGGACATGCAGAAGACAGTTGGGGATAGTGCTCCGTCTTTCGCGACAATGAAAGTCATGAAATGAGGACGAACCAGTGTGAAAGATGCACCAAGGAGTGGAGGCCCGTCACCATTGGCACAGACAAAAAAGTGTCTGCAATTTACGATATGATAATGCAGGATCGCCAAAGAACATTGCCGTACATTGAAGTTACATTTGGAATCTCCCATGGGCGGTCTCATGAGATTATTGTGGATATTTTGGGGATGAGTGAAAAGTTTCTTTTTTTCGCGTGCGGTATTCTTTTGCATCAGGACAACGCACGAGCTTACAAAGTCTTCGCAATCCAGGAAACTCTGCGGGTTCGAATTGTTACGTCATCCGCCATACTCTCCTTATTTGGATCCATCCGACTTTTTCTTTTCTCAACCCTCGAAAAGGATCTAAAAGAACGTAGATTTGACAGTGATTGATGATGTGAAATCCTGGTTAGGCACGAAAAGAAAAACTTTTTTTTTTGAATGGTTTAAAAAAGTTGCAAAAGTATTAGTGTACAAGGTTATGTTGAAAAATAAATTGGTGTTCTAAAATTTCTGTCATGATTTCTCTGTTAGGCTATAAACTTTTCAAACACCCCTCGTATATTCCCTACCAAA